ACACACACAAAAATAATGAGTGTGTGTGTGTACACACACATATTGGGAGAGGATAGTTTATACCTCTTCTCCTCTTCTGGGGGAGACTGACAATGATGGTGGCACAGTACAAGCTGCAATAAAATGTCAAAGAGTAGTAAGCAACAAAGAAAGTCTTCAGTTGGTACTTGCTTTCCACTAGGGGATAATTGCTATGCATCATTTTCCTGTGACAACTGAAGATCATTCAAGCAGAAATTCACAGAAGTAATAAATGGTTAAGGTTTCCCTTAGATTTATAAAAGAAACTCTCTTAAATATGTAATTGCCAGAATTTCTTCTGAGACTGACCTACACCCACAGAGCTATTTAGCATCTAAAGGAAGTTAGACAATGCATATGCCTTTTAAATGCAAAACTACAGCTTAAAAAATGTAAATCCCTGCTCAGTTCAACATAGAGCACAGCAAGTTTGACCACTGCAAATACAAGCCTTGTCCTCAACTCATGCCCAACAACTTAGTGGTTTGAACACTTCCTTTCTCCTTTCTAGAAGAAAATGAAACCACCAAATGGAAATTAAGATTGGAAAGAAGATATTTTCACTATCAACTGAAATCTTAAATGCATTCTGCACAGTCCTGCCTGCCCAGAGTTAGGCACACAAGCACACCTGTATTGAAAACCAAGATGTGTGTTTTCTAGTCATCTGTGAAAGAGTTGCTAGTTCCTTAGTTCTGGGCCAAGTGATTATCTTATTATACGACATTCATATAATGTCAAAATTCAAAAGATACTATTTTGTGTCTGACTGACCAACATTAAATTACATTTAAGTGCAAATAGAGGAAACTGATTAGCTGTTTGGCATTATCTGAATGTTGTATAATAAGATAGCTTAGATGTGAGCTGATTGTCTTCACTTGGCCAAAGTACTTCATTTTTGTGTACAGGTGAGTCTAGATAGTATAGTAGTCATCTGAGGAAATAGGTGGATCTTTGCATACCATGTCTTGTGCCCCTTCTTTTCCGTGCCTTTTGCAAAAGGCATGCAACTCAAACAGGTAACTGTGAACTGGAAAGCATGCAGCTGTTCCAGCCATAGCTGTGTTTGAAAGCAGGTGGATTTCTTAAACACCTGCATTTATCGAACTGCTTTTTTATTGATTTCAGCAGAATCTAGCATCCTTTATCCATGAAACCATAATTTAGTCTATGTCAGTCAGTGAGATAGAGTCATGTTGAGGTTTCCTTATCATAAATGGGCTGAACTAGAGATTTAGCATTTTCTACAGCAATTAATGTGATGTCATATGGTGCTATGTTATAGCTGTAATTCTGTAGCTAAGACTGAGACAATGTTATTAGTTTATTAGTATTATTTTAGACTTGGCTTAAAGTTTCTGAGGTCACTGGTGCTCACAATGCCAAGAAACAAGATATAATACTGAATCCAGGCATAAAAGACTCTTGTGTTTTCTTTGCAGATGCTGCAAATAGTCTTATCAGTCCTCCTATTATTTCATATACGGATTTCTATAATTCTACACTTGATCATATTGATCTTATGGAAGAATATCATAACTGGCAATGCTATGGGAATTCTCACAGGTAAGAGGAATAACTGATGGTTCTTGTTAAGAACTGAATTTCAAAGCACCATATTTATGCTATGTCTATCTAGACTATATATACTGTAGATGCATAGTGTATATATGTATATATGGTATACTTACCCTTTATGGGTATATATAGCCACATTAAACACTGCATTTTATTGGACAAACATAGTATTGTTATGTATTGTTATATTTGCTATTGCTTGGATGCAGTAAATCTGGAATAAATCTCATTCTGTCTTTGCAAACTGGAGAAAATATGTAAAATACAGATGATTATAATCTCAGTTTATTAACTATTGCCACAGACTTCTAATTGTGTCTTCCTACAAACATATTTTAGCCTCCAATACATTCATAGGCAGTGGTGGTGTGTACATACCACTTAATGCTGAATATGTATCGAATTACAAGTGTATATGTGTTTCCAATCATGTTTGTCCCAGTGAAATCAATTGTACTATTTCTTTTGTTTGAAAATAAACACATAAGTTAAATCTTTAGACTCAAAGCTTGCAAAGATATTTCTCTTCTTGCAAGAGGCAGCCAGCAGTATGATTTAGAAACATCTAGAGAAACAGACATTTCATCTTTTTGCTAAAGTCTAAAAATCTTAGTAACATTTTCTTAGTAAAAATGGGGTTTTGCATAGCTGTATTTTTTCAGCATATCACTGTGTATCACTTAGTCTTTACAGCTTGAATCACAAGATCAATTAAAATTTCCCCATACCTCAGGACTTTTCAGTAGGCTAATTTAAGACATCACCCACCTAAATGGAGCTTTTTGTTTATTGTGTGCAATTTTCCTTGCCTTTAGCAGCAGTTGGGAAAACCTTGGAGACCATAATTTGCTCCTCCAAAGCAGGTGTTTCAGGCTAGGCTTCTGTCTGATACCTGGTATTCTGCTTGGGAAAGAAGGAAAAAACCAAACAAACACACTAAAAAAACCCCACACCAAAAAAAACCAATCAAATAACCGCAAAAATACCCCAAACCCCATGACACATGATAGCAAAAAATGCACAGTAGACTTTTCATAGTCTCAGTCAAAGCATTGGAATCCGAATACTACTGAGCTCCAATCTTTTTCTTTTTTTTTCCCCCATTGGCACCATCTGGCTGTTTTGGCACCTACATCCAATCTTATGAAAGGGCTGCAAGATTTCCAGCTGTTCCAGTTCTTTCAGTTAGCTGGGACACTGGGAATTCAATATATGTCAAAACAGTGTTTGCTTGATACATAATTGTTGGAGTAGCTGAAGTGCAGACTTAGCTGTATTATTCTGAATGTAAATGTAATTCTGTTAATTTGTTAGAACCACACTTTTTTTCCCCAGTTTTACATCTTTTAACTCTGAGTTGCTCCACTTAAAACTAAAAAAAAAACAACCCCAAGCAACCTGACATCAAAGAATCACAGTCAGGAGTATATGCTTAGAACTAAGAAAGCCAGCAGGAGCAGCTCCAGGTGTACTTTCCATATGGAATATTTTGAAATATATAATTCTATATATATTCTATATTCTAAGTCAACATGGTTTGGTAAAAAAACACTTTGGGTTAGGATTTGGTGGAGGTCAGGTGTGCTCTGGGTGTTTCGATATGAACTGCTGCTAGGTGATGCATGAGCTAAATCAACAAAAATACTTACCAAAATAACCAGTAATAATAAGTTTAAAAAATCTTTTACTTTGATGAGTTCTGAAGTTTTACAAAATAATCATCCTTTGATTGCGGTGGAATGTGGCTGTGACCTGATATTTCAGAAGTCCTAAACACTTACAACCCCAGGTTAAATCTGAAGGGCTTGTGGAAAATCTGCTCCATTGAAAATCAGTTCTGCAGCAAATAAGCCAAAAATAAACCAGAAATATTTCTACTGTGTACCTGAGAATGCTGCAGTGAGATAGATGTTTTTATTGTATTTAATTAGAAGACAGTATTGTTTTCCCTAATTCAATGTAGTAATTAAAGCAGATTCAAAGCAGGTGGTGACTGGTTTTGTTAGGTCTGTTGATGCTAATAGTAAACAAAAAAAAGAGATGTATTTGAGGATAAGTATTGTTACTAGTCACAGTTTCTAGTAGTATTTGCAAATAAGAGGTTGTTCTACTGAACTGAGTATCTGTATACAACACAGAAAACCCAGCAGTGCTTTGCAAATTGCTATCAGTGGAGGAAATGTTTTTACTGAATGCTACAATTCACTCCTGTATTCTTAAAAAGAGAAAATAATATGCTAGACGATTAAAAGGAAATATTTTGTCTTCTTTTTTCTTGTTAGGTTTTCTTTTTGTCAATACCCATTTATTATTTCTATAGCAGCAAAAAAGGTTATTATTCAAAGGGACTCAGAGCAACAGATGATAAGTATTGCACGGGTAAGTCACTCAGTGATAAATGTTTGTGTCTCATCCATCAGTGTCTTAAAAGCTTTTGTTAGATTGATATTACACACAGCCTGTCATTATAACTTCCAGTATTTCAGACTAGTCTGAAAAAGAGCTTGAGCCATTTTACTATGACTAGTCTATGAATGTCCATGCTGGACTCTCTCAGTATTTTTTATTATACTTCTATGTAGAAGTGTTGTGGAGAAAGAATTACAGTAATTTACTATTTTTTTCCCATTTTGAGAAACCAGCATAATGTGTTAGCATGTTAAATTAACAAGCTAATTAAGGAAGAAAAATTCCATGAGTATTTTGGACTGTTTCCTATTTTACTCTATGACGGTGTGTTGTCGTGAAAGACCAAGACTGAGCTGGTTACTTTCCAGCGATGGAAGAGGTACTGCTGGGCAGCCTGTTCTGTTTTGGAAGCAGCATTGCCTGCCTCCTTCAGTGGGAACTTCCTACAGGTGCTGGGTGATACTGCTTTCCTCGGTGCTCTATGGCAGCAGCACCACCAATCCATTCCTGCCTTGCTGGATGTGCCTCGTGAGTGGTCAAGTAAGGCACAAGCCAGTTTCCAGAATATTGTGGGTATATTTTTAGCAATTTGGGAAGTTGAAAAAGCTGCTACACAATTGCCACCTTCTTGTTAAGGCTCCTGATAAGTTGGTTCAAGTACAGTGTAAATGCTGTCTGCAGCAGCAAAGAAATTACATCTCTTGGAAGATGCTGAGACAGCTCTCAAGTCTGGGTAATGTCTTTAATGCAAGATACCGAGAACTTTTTACATTTAACAAGTGTGGCACTTGGTTTCTTTAATGAAGGTACTGTATGTTTCTTACTCAAATAGCAAAGCCTCGTGGATAAAGTCTCTCGCAGACAGAAGCCTGACATGAATATGTTGTTCCTGAACGTGAAAGTGAGAAGGACACACCTCGTTAGTGACTCGCTTGATGAGGTAAAAAAAAAAAGTCATTAAACAGCGTGTTGCTGCAGAAATAGCTATTGAACTTAGAATTCAGTTTGATAAGTCATATTTATATCTTTGTTCACTAAGAGATTGGGAATATAACTGCGTAATACTGAATAAAAAGAACTGAATTGCAACCACAACTGCAGTGCTGCAGAATAGATTGGGTTAGACACTCTGAAATTCATTTTCTCTGCTCATACTGCTCCAAAGCTGAGCCCATAATAAACATACATGTTTGCACAGGGTTTGTATTTGTGTTTGCAGTCTTTGTTTAAAAATACAGTGCATAATTATCAGGTTAAGCAGGACTTGAGCCCATGATAGGAGCTTGAATACTAAGTGACTAATCACTAATGAGTTTGTTCTGTTCCAGCTCTTGGAATGTTTTTATTCTTTCCCTTCAGAAATTCCTATAAGAATTACTTTGGGCTTTTATTTCTTAAATTCTTACCTTGATTTTAACTAATTCCTCATGTTCTTGAATGTACTTTTTCCTTTTTTAGACATTAAACAGATGTATCCACTAAAGTAAGCAACTCTTTTCAGTATCCACTGAACCTTGCAAATTAACATTAGTTAATGAAATCTAGTTCTCTGCTCTTTCTCAACATTGAGATCAGCCTGATGATATTGAAAAATAAGTCCAGGTAGTGAAAACAAGACAAAACTTTCTGATTACTCATGTCAGAAAACATAAGTTTAAACTTTATTTTCCCAGATCAAAGCCTGACTAATTTGTCCTTTTCGCCTAAGACAGAAGAAATGGGAGTGGTAACATTGCTATCTCTCAGGCATTGCAGGGTGTTTTTTTACCACACTGAAATAGCTAAGAGCAACTTCAAAGCTTCTGATAGTCAAAATATTCTATTTATTTCTGATGTTTTCTTCTGCCCATCTCAGGGATGAGTAAGAATGTATTATACTATCCATATTCTCAAGAATGTGGGGAATAGCAGGTGGAGGGAGAAGATGTTTTATTTCTGTTTGAGATTTTAAAACATAATTTGCAAAGTAAAACCACTTCAGGTAATAAATAGTTTGTTTCAAATAACACAAATGCCTAGAGTTATAAAATTTGTGCAATAGGAATTTACTTAGACAGCTAACAACATGAGAATTACTTTGTCATGTGCACCTTCCTGACTGGTTTAAACACTTCCTCTGGACCTGACCAGTAATCAATGATTTAAAGAAAAATTGTATAGTGACTCATTCTGAAACACCACTGCTAATTATGAAAGTCTGTTATCTAATTCTTTGCAGGTTGTTTTGCATACCTAAATGAAATGCTGTCTCTTAGGACAGAGCAATGAAAAGAGCTTGTTGCCATTGCCTAAAAACAGTTTGAAAAAGCAGCTGATACTTGCTGGCAGTATCTTATGCTGAACTGAATGGTGTCCAAATATTGAAAGTTTTAGCTTACCTCCTTATTCCTAAATATTTCCAAAGGATATCTAATTGTTTGTTTAATTTGTCATTTTTTCCTGGTAGAATGTCATATGTAAAAGGTGGAACATTTTATAGGTCAGAAATATTCCAGACAGACTCAATTCATTGTATCCAGTGGTCTATTAAGTCTGTTTGCACACCACCTCACTGCTTTTCAAGCCCCAAGAGTGACACCATGTGCAAAGTAGTTGAGGATGTCAAGTAGTCATGTCTTGCTTCTGCAATTCAATCATTGTTTTAATATAGTTTTGACCTATTAGGAGAAAATTATTCAGATTATTAGCTTAAACAAAGCAAATTAGTTTAAACAAGCATCCTGTGCTCTAGGATGGCCTTGCTTGAGTAGGGAGGTTGGACCAGATGAGCCATTGTGGTCCCTTCCAACCTAACTGATTCTGTGATTCTGTGAAAGGCAGTAGAGAGAGAGATGTCTTCTCTATGGTTAGAGGTAGTAATAATATGTTAAATCTCCTTTTTCTTTTTCCCTGTCTATTTTGCAATAGCTAGCAAGGAAGAGGGCAGAGCTGAAAAAGAAGCTGAAAGTCACATTTGTAGGGGAGGCTGGTCTTGATATGGGTGGCCTGACAAAAGAATGGTTTCTTCTTCTGATTCGCCAGATTTTTCACCCAGATTATGGTGAGTCCTCATAAAAGTAGAATGTGAGAATTTGTTTGGACTCTATGTAAGCTCGGCTCAGCAATAATGAAAATGTCTTTGTATAATACACACTGTTTTCAGCACAAATCCAAAACACAGCCTTGTGCTAGCTACAACGAAGGAAGTTAACTCTATCTCAGCCAAACCCAACACAATGGTTTAGCAAAGATTCAAGTGGAGATAAGGCCAAATGTATTGGTTTATCATCTACCATCCTTGACATTTTCTTCTCCTGCTGCATTTTCTCTTTTATACACTGCCCTTGGGAGTCTTCATATTGCTAGTTTAGGATGATTTCCTGGGTTGTTTTTTTTTAAATAGCTATTGTTGGATGGTGTTACTGTGCTCAGTTCTAGCAAACTGCAGACTTTGGCCTCCCATGTATCAATGGTTTCCGTTGGCACTGAGAGCTGCACGGAGACTGTCTGCAAGTTGTAGCACTATTTCTGTGATTAAGATAGGTAGAGGTTAGTTCTTACTTGAATCTTTGTCATCATATATTCTGTTTGTAGTACCTGTGTTCTGTATTTTTAAAGTGATCTGAGATAATCTCAGGAAAGAAAGGTGCTTCAGTCAGATGCAGAGACAGTGTAGGCAGGTGTGAGCCTGAATGAAATAGCCTGCCTTGCTGTTACCAGGACCTGGGAGCCCACAATGATATTTGCATGCCCAAGGGTAAAAAAAAAAAAAAAAGACTTTTGGAGTAAATAGGAGATTGTAAGATATGAAAGAGCAGTCAAAACCAAGCAGTTCAATCTACTTGTTTTATGCCGCTGTAGGTGGATCTGGGTGGGTTTTTCTCCTCACTCTAATTAATTGCTTAAATGAGTCAGCTTTCCTCAGCTGGGCACGGATATATTACTGATGATATAGTGGGTTGAAGTGTTTCCGGGCTGGCTTTTAAATTTAAAATATTGGTTTCCAGGGTCTTGAGCAGAACACCTCAACAGCAGAGTGGCAGGTTGATGGTTGAACTTGGTGATCTTAGAGGTCTCCTCCAACTTTGTGGATGCTGTGGTTCTAACACCTGATAGTCATTAGTAGAATGCAAGAGTTTGTCTATTTTTGCCTGAAAGTGTTCATGTCTCTTAAATGCATGATCCTTTGTTGTTTGTAGGACTCCTTCTAAAGGTACAGAATTTAAAGTTATAAATGTGTCCTCAAATCTTCTGAGATCATTATTTCCCTGTAGTCCTTATCTAGTAGAGAGGGGTCTGTGTGGAGACATGGCACTAGTTAAACAACCTTAATAGGAAACAATTTAACCTGGAGAAAGTGTTCTGTAAGTTTGACAGTTCTGTTAGTAAAAATGTGTTGTCAGCAGAGTTTGGTAACTGATGAGGTTGAAAACATTCAGAGTAATTTATTTCTTTTTCACCATTTCTGGCAAGCTTCCTTGTAAATTCTTTCATTGTTAGGACTATCAGCCAAGTGTGGGAGGAGTTCAGAAGTGTTCTTTTCCCTTGGAAAGGGCTGTATCCACTGCTCTCTTTAATGTTTAAGTTGCAAATAACATATGTGAGAAGCTTGGAAAGGAAAAGATCACTGTCACTGCCTTTCCAGGCCTCATTATTAGCTCAGCTGTCTGCCCTCCTCTCTGTTTTGCAATGCTTTCTTCATCTCGGTGTGGACAACTAATAAATGGGGTTTGAAATCTGTTTTGTTCCATCATCCCTGCCCTCTTTTAGTATGTGCACCTCGCTCTGCCTTCTGTGCAACCATTCTGTTGCTTCTGGTGAAGACACTGTGTAAACCTTTCATGATAAGCATCTTTTTGAGATAAAGTTCAAAAGAGAAAGTTAAATTCTTCAGGAGAGTAGGGGGGAAAATATGGAGGCAGATCTTTAGCTATAATTTATCATAAGAACTGGATGTCCCTGAGACAAGTTGGATTTTTGTTCTCTTTTTAATCAAAAGGAGTTTGATTTTTTCATTTAAAACTTATTTTTCACCAGCTTTTTCTTCAAACACAGATGCAGTGAGCCACTGCATGCAAGATGTTGTTAAAACTATTCAGTGCTTTGGTTTGTACAGACTGAAAACAATAGTAAACTGTTGGCCCATTAAATCTCAACAAATTAAAACCAACCATCACATTTTATCCAGTTTACTTCTGCATTGCTGAAGTCAATTTCACTGTCAGTGCATGCTTTACTAGGGTGTGGAGTGCTTCTCTGAGCAATACTTCCTAGGCATTTTAAAGCTGTTATCAGATTTCATTATGTAGGTTTTTACTTTCTATCACTCTTTGAAACAGAATGTTCCATATCTGATGCAAATAGCAGTCAAACTTGTCTGTAGTCATGATTTCAGTAGGCTCTAGCTTGTCATTTAGACCCATGAGTGGCTTTTTTAGGGTACATGTGCTTTGAGGTTTTTTTTATTTCTCTGATACAATCTTTTGACAGAAAATATGAAACATACACCTTTGCTGCTAGTCTGTGTATAACATAAACCTTTTACATCTTTCTGTTCTGAGAAGGTAAAACTTGTGGTATTTGTATCATGGCATTCGTGACAGCAGTTTTAGAGAGTGTCATCTGCTATTGACCTAGGAAGGAACAAATGGATTTACATTGCAGCAAGAAAATTTTTGGTTAGACAACTAACATTTCTGGCTGTACAGATGCTGAAGTACATTGAAGAAACAGATTGCACAGAGACAGTGCAGAATATCCATGACTGGAGGCCCTGAAGAACATGTTGCACCAGCACCTAACAGGGCTGGTGGGCTTGAGCCTGCTTCAGGCTTGGCCCTGCCCTTGGTGTCCTCCCCAAGCCCCTGCCATGGGTGGGAAGAGAGGGCTGAGAACAAGCATGGAGATAGGGGCACTCCAAGGAGCTCTTTTAAGGGTGTATGTGTGAGAAAGGTGAGGCTTTGTATGACTGTTTATTGAAGCTCAGGCTTTGTAAAGACCACCTTGCTGTTCTGCAGGCATGTTCACCTACCACGGCCCTGCCCTTGGTGTCCTCCCCAAGCCCCTGCCATGGGTGGGAAGAGAGGGCTGAGAACAAGCATGGAGATAGGGGCACTCCAAGGAGCTCTTTTAAGGGTGTATGTGTGAGAAAGGTGAGGCTTTGTATGACTGTTTATTGAAGCTCAGGCTTTGTAAAGACCACCTTGCTGTTCTGCAGGCATGTTCACCTACCACAAGGACTCTCACTTGGTTCAGCATAGCAGCTTTAAATGTGATAACTATTCAGAATTCCGGTTGGTTGGAGCTGTATCCTTTGTGTCTGCTAAGTGGTGCTGAATGAGGAGCTGTCAGTGGGATGGTATGGGGGTGAAATTGGCTAAAGCGCCTTTAGATGTTGGATGTACAAGTGTGTTCCATTTTAAAATGTATAAAGGGAATGTCATTCAAGCAAGTGAACTAAATTAGGAAGAAAATTATGGGGTGCGGGTACGTGGGACATTTTGCAGTCAGAAATACTAGAATCAAGGTTAAGCATGCAACTTCTTTTGTGTATAAGTTGTAATTTCTTATGTGCTTAAACCTCTGAGATTCCTTCAGTAAATATAAATGCATTAATACTTCATTGTTGATCAGCATGTGGCTTTTTGCCTGCTTTTATTACAAGATGGCAACCACATGCTATTTTGGGCATAAGTTTATTTTGTAGGTTTTCTGTTGTGCCCATTTATAAGTCCTCAGAAAAATGATTCATGACAATAGTTGCTTATTATTCCACTAAGATGAGATGATGGTGTCCCCATTTTACTGATTGCACTTGGGTCAGATGATGGTTATAGGTCTTTTCTAATGGAAATGTTCTGTTCTAGTGAATAGCTGAATTGTGAACTGGATTCTTCCTAATTTTTGTTGCAGTTTCAAATTATTTTCATGGGATGTATTAAATGTGCTAAGGGATGAGCTGTAGTTCCAGTGGAGGTTTGTCTTTATGCTTTTAGATTTATTTAAAAGGAACATTATTATATTGAGCTCTCACTAGAACTTTTGGATTGAAAATACATAACTACAGTTCTATTTTTTCTCATAACAATACTTTGGAACAATTTATTGTAGAAATGCTTGTATAGAATACTAGGATGAAGATTCTTAAGTGTGATTTCACTATCATCATTTTAACCACTATGTAATTGCATTGCAAAACTACAAAAAGAAAATCCATTTTCATTCCTTCTGGTTTTTGAGCATGAATTAGAGTAAGATCTTAGAATATTTTTTCCAAGTTACTAAATAATCATTATCATAAGGATGTGTTGGGTTTGCCCTTAACATTTGACATATATAGCTTATGGGACTTGCTGTATATAATAGCATCACCTTGGATATTCGTTTCCCACCTTGCTGTTACAAGAAATTGTTGAGTCCTCCCATTGTTCCTTGTGATCATAACACTCTTGTAGGCATCTGTGATGTCACATTAGATGACCTGTTTCAGATTATGCCTGTAAGTATTGCTTTTTTTTTTAAGAGGCTAAATTAGTGATTTAAAACCTGTCTTACTTATACTTGATGCTTGAGTTATAAACTGTTTCAAAATAGCTTTTTTTTCAGCGCAGGCTAATAAAATCTCCTGCTGCTGAAAACTGAACATCTCCATGTTTTCTAGCATAGCAGAATTTTTGTTGATATACTTGAAGTTAGAATACCAAAATCTGATATAAGCATTCTAGGCACATTTTCTGTAGTAAAAAGAAAACTGTAATGGCTTATACTGAAATAAAAATACACACATACATATTAATTAAGCTGTGAGTTTTTCTTTGTGAATGCATTTTAAATATACAGCTTTTTCCAAGAGACTTCCTGTATAAAATAATGCTTCTGGCACATTCTTGTGAAGAGCATCACTTAGTTTTGTAGATTTACTAAAGAGTTTTTACTCATGTTGTAGGAATTGGCCCATGGACTAAGTGAACTTCTTTCCTACGAAGGCAATGTTGAAGAGGATTTTTACTCAACCTTTCAGGTCATTAAATACACAACTATAAGTGATTCTCAGTTCTGTAATTTTTACCAGTGCCAAAATGGCAGTGAAGTGGCCTGATAGTGTGTGATTGCTGATTGTTTGGGGGCATGAAAGCTTGCTTCAAGGCCAGTCCTCTCCTGGGGCCTCTGTCCATACAGAGGTTGGCTTCATGATGAGGCTTTAAGCTGTGGGTGTAGGAGAACCCAAGTGCTGACAGCTGGGGTTGCACAGACAGAGCTGCTCATGCATTTCCAGCTCTTGGCTTGCTTTGACCATCACCTTGGAATCAGGGACCCGGTGTGTGGAATTCATCTGACTGCAAGACAATCTCTTTTCTGTCTAACCCAGAAACTAGTCAAGGCTTACTTTGGTTATTTTATACCCTTTAACCAGGAAATCTCACTTGAGCAATAGTTTGTTCAAGTTCTGATAGTTTTACCTGACCTGCATGTCTGAACTGCCACTTCAGACATGAAAGTCTTCTTCATTTATTCATTATGTTATAACATACACTAGTTAATAAAATTTCATGCTGGTTCATGGATGTGTATTGGACTAGTATTGACCTTTTTTCCTCTGCTTTGAATTACATTATTGTCAGACCATATAAGACTTTTTGTAAAGCAGGTACTTTCTAGTTCCTAGGTGAGCTACAGCAGAACAAATACCTTCGTAACTGTATTTGCTGCTCCTAGATTGTTCTTTTGTATGAAAAACTCTGTGCCTCCAGAGCCTGCAGGTCAGTTTGACATGCCACTGTGTAACAGGGTCAGTTTTTCTACTCTGAATACCAATTTCTTGAGCAATTTGTTGAAAATTGTAATATTTGACTTCTAAAAACTCCACAAGCCTCAGAATTACAGCATGTGCTAAAGACAGAGACGAGGGAAATACATGATATAAGAAATACAAGCTTTGTAATTTGTGAGTATCTGAATATATTTTCCAGTACTGACCTTGACTCCTTTATTTCTCCAGGTTTTTCAGGAAGAATTTGGTGTTATAAAATCTTACAACTTAAAGCCAAATGGAGATAAAATTCCAGTCACAAATCAGAATAGGAAAGGTACTTCAATACATATTAACTACACATATTTTAAGTTTGTCCTTTTTTTTTTTCTTCCTGTAAGCTAAGGCTTTTGTTAACAAAGTGTGAAAATTAAATGACTGTGATCCTTTCTGGTATGCCTAGCAATTTAATGGTGTCCAAAATGAAATGCATTATTTTTTCTTAATTCACTGCAATTTGAAAGTGCATAACAAATGATTGATTAAAATTACTATGATGCAACAAAATAAAATGTTTTTCTTTTTTAGAGTATGTGCAGCTCTATGTTGATTTTCTTCTCAACAAATCAATCTACAAACAATTTGCAGCTTTCTATTATGGATTTCATAGTGTCTGTGCTTCATATGCCTTACTGGTAAGAATAAAGTGAAACAACACTTCTGTTTCAAGTATTTGACAATGACTTATCTAAATTAAACAAATTGTGCTGGATGATTTTAAGATTTGTAAAGAATCTTGATTTAATCAATACACTTGATTAATCCAACCTAAGCAGGAAAAATGAAGCAGGTAATCAACTGTTCTCTGTAGTGTTCCATTGAAAACACATAAATAAAACTCCACAAGTTGGGTTTATCACTATGCACTCACAGACACTTCATGGGCTCTTGTATGGATGTTTCCAAGGTTTCTCTGTATTCCCTACAGTTATGAACTGCAGAGCAACTATGTCTGTGTACTCTTGAGTGAGTCCTCTGAAAGCATCTATTACTTTTTCCAGGAAGAACACTCAGTGAGGTTGAGATTGAACATTCTTCTCTTTTCAGTCCTGTTTGGCCATTGGAGTGACTTCTATAATTTACATCATCCCTTCCGCACTGAGAAAGAAGAGGCAATTACAATGTGCATGAGATTTTCTCAATTCCTGTCAAATTAGAGAACTCTGACATGCTTGTAAGCAAGGCAAGATGTGGCTAATTGCAGGGAAGGAGAATGAGAATCCATTGAAATGCCATGACGTATTTCCGTGCAATTTTCCAATGTTGTAGTAAAAGAATAAGCAGGTTCTGCGGGTGTAAGTTTAGTGGGTGTTAAACAGGGTTTATTGTTAGGTGTATTTGCTTAGTGTGCTTAGTAGCACTAGTGTGCTTAGTATTGCTTATGTGCTTAGTAGTGCACAACTAAGAGTCAAGTTCTGTCAGCCACTGCTGCTCAGCTGCCTACACTGGGACTTGTCAGTGTAAATGAAATGGAAGTTGTGTCCAAAACTGACATCCTCAGAATTCCATGTGTACAAACTTAGTTTTCTTTCCGACCCATTTGTAATCAAATCAGATGACAGGCAAGTCAACGTAATAAGTGTAAGCCTGGAGGAGACTGCATGGAGACCTCATAGCAGCTTTTCAATATCTGAAGGGGCTACAAGGGAGCCGGAGAGGAACTCTTTATTAGGAACTGCAATGATGGGACAAGGGGTAATGGATTCAAACTGAAGGAGAGGAAGTTTAGGCTAGATATTAGAAAAAGTTTTTTACTCTAGGGGTGGTGAGATATTGGAACAGGTTGCCCAGGGGAGTGGTGGCTGCCTTGACTTTGGTGATGTTCAAGACCAGGCTGGATGAGGCAACCTGATCTAGTGAGGAGCTGTCCCTGCCCATGGCAGGAGATTGGGACTAGATGGTCTGTAAGGTCCATTCCAACCCTTAAATTCTATGATTCGATGAAGGATGAAGAAGGGAGGACAAAAGAAATATGCTAAAATACTGTGTTATCCTGTAATTTGCTTTTTACTATATACAGTAGCAAAAGAATCTTCAGATGGTGAGGGTTAATTTTTTTTAAATCTGTATGTGCCTGAGTTAGAGACTTACACTGAATGATATTCTCTTGACTTTTCTATAATGACAAAATAAAAATTTAATCTAGTAGGATAATTTCTTACCTCTTTTTTATAAAAATACATATTTTATCCTTGATTTCTGGCAGCTACTTCGTCCAGAAGAGGTTGAAATTCTTGTCTGTGGCAGCCCTGAACTGGATATGTCTGCATTACAGCGAAGTACCCAATACGAGGGCTACCAAAAAACTGATCTCACTATACGGTAGGCTTGGGGGGCTTTTGTTCTAATTACTGAGTTGAAAAACATCATAGAATGTGAGAGTTTTGCCCATAATATCTTCAAGGATAAAGTGAGAATGATTGGAGTTTTAGAAACCTATTTCTAAAGAAGACAAAGATGTTATTAAATCACTGTAAGTAGGAAGAGTTGGATCCTTACTGGTATGTGTTGCTGAGTATCCTTAAAAGGTTATGACCAGGTTGAAGTGGAGATACTTTAAAAAGTACAGCTTCAAATCCTGCATAGGAAATCTGAGTCCTTATTTTCCCCCAGTTCTCTTTGATGCTAAAGATGTTTATATAAGTGAGTCGAAGGGATTTATAGTTTTATAGAAAAGTGGGTTGGGGCATCATTTGGCAAGACCTCATCCCAAAATTAATAAAACATTGTACTTGTCAATTCTTTAAGAATTTAACCTTGTAAATTGAGATACTACTGATTTCCTATATATTACGCTAATTACATTCTCAGTAAGTGACATTCATCATGTAGTACTTGTGTTTGTTTTATTATCTCCATACTGCTTTGTCATGATATTGCATCTTGCACCATTTTCTTCTCCCTCTGCCCTGAACATAGATACTTCTGGGATGTAGTACTTGGATTTTCTCTTGATCTTCAAAAGAAGCTGCTACATTTTGCTACAGGAAGCGATAGAGTACCTGTGGGAGGAATGGCTGACTTGAATTTCAAGATTTCAAAGAGTGAAACATCCACTAATTGGTAAGTTGTGTCTTGGATTTTTTAAATTTTTTCCTTAAATTGTTTCCCAAGAGCCATTATTGCTCTTGAATATCTTTTTAAAGAAGAGCAAACTAATGTACAAGGAGAAAACTGCATGGACTCCTTTAGTTTCTCTTCAAAATGTTATACTCATTTATTGACTGCATAAATTTTGCAGGTGTCATCTAGTATAAAACTGTTTCTCCAGTCAATGCTTGCATTTAAGGCCACTAATTCTTTATGTATAGAGATTCCTTACATGTTTTCAATTCAAATGAGTTATTAATTTAATTATTCCTAACATGACAGCTGAACTAATGGAAATGTACCTTGAATCACCATGAATTTTTCTGAATTCTCTGAGTTTGATGGCATTATTTATAGCATCCCCTGCAGCTTCAGAAAATGCTTGCATTCTCTCTTGGTGGTGTACCTAAGACTTTTAAGATGTATGGCTGTGAAGATGCAGCATTCCTTTAGGGCCTCCAGTGTATGGCTGATACAGAAGTTGCTCAGGCGATACAGCCACAAAGCACCTTTGCAATTTCATGGTGAATATTAACTTGTTCATGCCAAGTTCTTATGTTTCTGGTAGTAGTTTATTTTGCATTGGATTATTTGAAATTGGTTTTATTTGTATCGAATTCACTTGAGACCTGTATTGAATTTACTTGAGACATACTTTCCAGGTAGTATTTTACTTCTCAAGACTGGAGAAAGTCAGTTTAAATAATTTGGAAAGCTGTATAGAAAAACTTGCTGCTCTGAAACTCACTGCTAAGCTGTAATTACTGACATTACCTAGATTTCTCAAGCATTTAGGCTAATTGGAATACTTACACAGAACTATATTTTCCAAGTCAAAATTTTGTTGGGTTTTCAGTGGAGAGCTGAACTAAATGCATAAACAGAATAAACTTTGGTTTTGTCATTAAATTCAATTTATCTTATTACTGTGGTATTTCTAATGCTTTTTACAATGAGCTAATAACTGGTTCCAGTTAAAGGAACAGGAGGATCTGATGAAAAATGAAGAAAAATCAGTCAACATTGAATCTCTATTTATGTTCCTTCTCCTGCAAATTGTTCTTTTTCTTAAAAATGAGAAAATGTGTTTTGAAATAGTGTGCATTTTGAACTGATGTAGGTCTGTGTTTTGCAAGGTAATTGTTGCTGTCAGACTGCCTGTGCAGGGATGAATGTAGACATGTTGCTCACACAGTAGGATCAAAGAATATAATAGCAATAAGAATTGTCAGATTAATAGAAGTTTCTCAACTTCCCAGGTTCTGAAGCACATGGCTCTAGTCTGACTGACAGATCTTTGCTGATCATTGAAAGGGCAGGGAGGGGAAAGTAGCTTGGGTCTCCAGATCTGTAGAGTTCCACCCCCTTGCAAGAACATTTGCCAGTGATCAAAATGCTGCCATTCAATAGACTGAGGAATTCACTGAAAAGAGACTTAGAGATTTGAGTCCTACTAAAGTTTAATTTTTAAGTGTCCAAGTCTTAGAATTTTTTCAGTATGTTTTCCAAATGTCAGGTTGAGCTTCAGCTCATTATCCTTCTCCTGTTCTCACCAAGCAATCAGTTGTAAGACAAGTATATATCCTCAGTGCTGTCCTGTGTGTCACTTGAGAATGTCAAGGACAAGAAGATCCCATGGCTTATTACCTGTGGCTTATCGAACTAATCTATTCTAGAGAGAAGCAGAGTTTCCAGTGTTTCTGGAGTTTGTAGTCAGGCATTCCTCAGCAGTATCTGCAAGACATATATCCAAACTCTCTCAGAAGAAACTTGCAACTGAAAGTGTTGGCATGGCTAAGACCAAAATTTGTGACCTGTTGTTTTTCCAGCATTTCAGTCAGAGCTCCTCAGAGCTCCCCACTGGGGCATATGTCTGCAAGGATGTATTTTACCACGCTGAACTTCGAGTTCTGTATCCTCACAGACACATAACTGTGGTTCATCTAGGCATGTGTATACCTACTGCAGGACCCACCTTCCTTCCTCATGATGTGGATCTGATTATACCCAGATTCTGTATTTGGAGAAGTCATGTGGTACTTGGAGTTTCCAAAATCTAGAAGGAGATATTTCCAACCTAACATAATAATAAAGCTGGGGAGGGAGCTGCAGGCAATCAAGTTCCACCCAAGGTGCATATGACCAGCAGTGATGTTATTTGTTTTCAACAGAACTTGAACCAGCAGCATTAGGATAAATGTTCCTTTTACAGGCTTTCTTATTTAAGTAATATTTAACTGCAGATGTGTAGGCAGTTGGCAATGTTCTGCTTCTATTGCCTTATTATTAAATGTCATTTGTTGGGTATTATTTGCATTATTTTAGGTTACCTGTGGCCCATACCTGCTTCAACCAGCTTTGTCTCCCTCCTTACAAGAACAAGAAGGAACTGAAGCAAAAGCTGATCATTGGAATTTCAAATGCAGAGGGGTTTGGTCTAGAATAAAATTAAATACTCCAAGAACAGCATTTTTATGTAGCATTCACTCTCTTCTGATTGTGCCTTTAAGCTTTTCATTGTTCTGTCTCTTGATACTGTGCCAGTCTTATCTCACTTAGATTATTTTTTTTAATTAAATATGAGGTGTATGTTTTTTCCTGAATGGCAATACATTTACTGCTTGCTTTGTCACAGAAAGTAGCTTTCTTTGTACAAAAAGCTGGTCTGTTTGATAAACAAAACCCAACTAAGATAATTTTTAAGTTACAGTTTTTTCTTAATAGCACTTTATCATTAATCATAATTCCTTTACATCAAGGTACCCCACTGGGAGATAATACACAGAGTATTTCTTTATTAGCTAATCCCAGTGGTAGGATGTTTTCAAGTAACATTAACAATAAGAAAAAATAAAACATCAGCATGTAGCTATTTTTTTTCACAAAGGCAAATAGGAATTTTAGTCTTTATAAAATGTATGTAGTTTTATTATTCTGGTTTTCCTTCTTAGTGAAACCAGCTGTCTAAGAAGTATGTAAATAACTGCCTGTGAAGAAATGGGGTTTTGATAGTGCCATTTACTGCTAAAAAATTATTTTTTATGAATAAGAGGTTTTAGATGTTCTATATTCAGCTTTTACACTTGACTGTACAAGTGTGTTAAAAGGTATTTTTTCAGCTTGAGGGGGGATTCAAGTTCAGGCTACAGGTATTAAGGACCTTGTATGTTCATTCTTTACAGCAAACCAACCAGATCTACTGTAGCATTATAGCAAACAAAACTAGATATTTAGAATAAATACCACATATGGTGAAATGCTTTAGGAAAACAATTAACTCCACAACACATCGAAAACTGATATAGTATATCACGCTATCAATTTTTCAGCAACTTTGTCGAAAGTCTTAAGTAAGCTGTGACAAAAGTGACCACAGTAACATCTCAGAAGAATGTTGAAGCTCTCATTAACTCGCAGACCAGCATTTAAAGACTGTTTTGTGGTTTTCACGGCACAAACTACATGAGAGGAATTTTTGGTGTGTCTGCTCTGAGTTAGTAAATTAGGAGCTGGGAAAGAAATGGCTCTAAAATACGTAGTTATAAGTCTGGGTTTATTCACTAAATGGAAATAATTTATCAGCATGCAGTATAGTACTTTTAAATATGAATAGCTACTGTGTTCAATAGATTTTTCTTTCAGCTGAATGAGGCCCAGATCATTCAAGACACTTTGGCATCTAGTCTGTCAGCTTTCCCCATTGACTCCTGCTGGGGCATGGATGCTTTTCCATATCTTGTAGTGTCTGTACTCAAATATTAGTCTTCTAATTAGTCTTTAGAGTCTAAGACTTTAAAAGTCTCCTTTTCTCTCTCTGTATTATTGACATGCAACCAGCAGATTTACAAACGATGCACAAATTAATCTGCCTGATTTGTAGTTTCTCAAAGCTATTGTAGATATTCTGCAATAGCTAAGTGTAAATTTTATTTTATTCTCTTTCCTAGACACGTTACTGGTGATTTTACTGTTTTATTAAGGCAGAGATAAATAGTAGGACATTTAAAAATATTTGGCACTGTATTCATTGTCCTGTCCTTGAAACCAGTAATAAAATTTCCATTGACTTTAGCCTGGAACTAAACCAGGTTAGCACAGAGAGTGTTAAAAGCAGCACTTTAAACTTTTGCATTTTGTATTGTATCTCTCAAGTGGAGATTTTAAACTAAATCTTAATTTACAGGATTTCAGATGTTGAGAAATGAATGAAACTTTCACCAGTGCACTGAATGTATTAGTGTCAAGCAATGTTGAATTTCTAAGAGCTGAGCAGTAGGTAAGAAATCTGGAAACAAACACCTTCTCCCTTTCCCCTCTCTGTAGAATTGGATTCACGGTTGGTTTAGGAATGAATAGCTATACAGTTTATCTGAAAACATGGCTAATTAGCCAAAATATTTTTTTATGGCTTAAGTCCACTTTTAATAACTATTTATCTATTATTGTTAAAATAAAAGCTTTTATCTTCTCATTTTCACTGAATTGCACTTTGCCTTCAGTTTAGTTTTATTTATTGGAGCTCTTTTGATTTACTGTGTAATATTACCTCAGAATCCTAACAAGGCTATTGTATTTGCATCAGTTTTTAAATAAGATTGTCATTCAATGACATTTTATATATTTCCTGATGTGGATAAATGAAATAGTAAATTTTGTATTGTTAAATGAAAGTATTGCACTGTATTTATGAAATAAGCCTCTGATGATTTTAAAACCTTTGATGATGTTTTGTTGTTCTCTTTGTCTTGCCCTGTAATCCAACAGATCTTTTTTTATCTCCATCATTGTTTTGTACCGTACAAAAGAAATCGGTTTGTACAAACTTGTTCGTTACTAAGTATCTATTTTTATGTATTAAAATTGTGCAGTCATTAAATTGAATATTTCAATTTCTGGCCTCACTTGTTTCATTTCAGATTTGCAAGACTGATCATAATGGGTTTAAAATTATGCTCAACCTACGTGCTTTTGGTTTATTTTTCTTTTGAAAACTTTTCTTTACAGTAACAGCTTTGCTAAGGCATTGCATGGCTCACTGAAAAGAAATGAAGTTTCAACTACCAGGCATACACCAAGAATATTTACATTTTCCATAGTTATAATCAATATAATATTGAAATATTGAAATCAATATAATATTTAGATATTCTACTGATATTAGGTTTAGGATTATATATAAAATATATAGGATAGATAAAGATATTGATAAAAATATACACTATGTATTTATATATTACCCTATATAACCATATTAATATTTGAATATTGATATCATAATAACATTTAATTATCCTGTATTTATAGTCAAAATTACAGGTGTTCCAGTGCATACCATGGTGTAGTAATGCTGTAAAATAGCCTGGATCCTCAAATGGATCCAACAACTGGGTTATTCAGCATGGAGGAGACAAGGCTTTGGGGGCACCTCACTGCAGCCTTCTGCTGCCTCGAAGGAGCTTATAAAAAGGAGGGAGAGGGACTGGATAGTGACAGGAGAAGGGGCAATGATTTTAAATTGAAAGAGGGCAGGTTAAATTAGATGTTAAGAAGAAACTCTTTACTCAGAGGGTGCTGAAGCACTAGAACACGTTGCCCAGAGAAGTTGTGGATGCCTCATTCCTGGGAGTGTTCAAAGCCAGGTTGGATGGGGTCCTGAGCAACCTGGGCTAGTGAACTTCATCCGTGTCAGTGGCAGAGGGGTTGGAACTAGATAATCTTTATGGTCTCTTCCAACCCAAACCATTCTATGACTTTAACTTCATTTTCCTTCTATTTTTTTGTTGCTACCTCAGTTGCAAGATTACTTCGAGTTGCAAGGGAAGGCAAAACTGTTGTAAGTTTTATCTTTTTTTCTGCCTGATTTTAACATTAAAATCAGGAGGGACAGGTAACAAGAACATCATAGGTCCTGATAGCAGGACTACTATCTGACCAGATCCAAACTTGCTTCTTGTCTTCTTTGTACCACTCGAGTCACCTACAGATGGCAGCAAAGATGAAGATTGAAACAATTTAGAGGTCAGACGTTCCTCTTAACTAACAGTAGATATTTTAAGTACACAAAATGAAGAAAAAAGTTATAAAGGCTTGCCACAAATAATTTCAGATTCACAAAATCAGCAAATATAAATTGGCTTTTAGCAAACAAATATGGAGAAGGGAGAAGCAGCTGCTTCTGTCCAGCACTGGGCTTTGAAATTGTCTTCTCTTTCCATGGAGAGTTCCCTAATGTGTTATTGAGACCAATGCGAGACTCTGCCAAAGCCTCAAAGAGAGGAGATTGATTGATTGTTACTGATCTCTGAATGGTCAATAGCCTCAAGACTGATATTTGAAAAGAGGTTAGAAAGCTTGGTTTGCCTTGTCCTGTTCCTGGGGTTCAACTAGGGAACAGAAATTATTTTTCTTTCATTCTATCACCATGTTAGAGAAAGCTAAAATTTTAGTAAACTCTAATTCCTGCACTGCTGTGTCATGCTTACTGCGTTGTGTAATTGTACTGAAATCAATAAAATGTTCTGCACCACTTTTCTTTGGAATTCTAACTTTCCTGGCAATTTTTACCATGAAAGAAAAGCTTTGCCGAGCATTGAAAACTCTTGGTATTCATTCAAACCAAAGCTTTTAAAGTAAGAACACACATTTGTTGCTGTTGCATATAAGCAACCTCATTGTATTTTGTTTTGGGTGGTTTTGTTTTAGGCTTCGGGATCTACTCAATGTATTTCTGCATATTGATTGAAATGCATTAAGCTGTTACATCAAATGGCACATTGTGGAAGGTGAAAACTCTCTTTCCAGTAGCCTCTGATACTGGAAGTTACTGTAAATAAATGAAATGGATTCCAAGTTAATAACTTCTTGCTTTGATCCGTTACTGCCAGATAGGGGCTGAAATCTCCTTGGGGAATTACAACCAAGCTGTGTTTGAATTACCTGGGGGATGTTGCTTTTATCCTACTGCTCATCTCCTAGCCCATGCTTGCCCAGTTCCTACTGGTGATGGGTTTCACATACTTACAGGGGGGTTTTAAATGTATATCTTACACTGACATATTTAATACCCATTAATTCTTCTTTTCAATAAGTGAACTCAATTTCTTCGACAGTCCATAATGTTGGCCAAGAACTCACAGATACAGAACTAAAATCTCAATGAAATTAGTTTAGAAGACTCTTTTATTTTCCTATACTCGAGTTTAAGAGTTAAACATCATCCTATAATCAAAACTGTTGAGGCAGCATTAACTCAGCTCTGCTGAGAGCTGTGGCTTCTGTTCCTCATTCCCTGTTCTTTTGTGTAAACTACTGTAGGCATGGAACCAAACAGGAGAGACATGATAGGAGTAAATTCTTATCTGAAAGTGATAGTGTTAGAATTTTATGTCTCTTCATTTGATTTCTCATCCCCGTGTGCTAGCTGTAGTTGTGTGTGTTTTTTCACGTGTAACTGTTTGCAATGGGTACACTGCAGCAGGGAATCTGAAGGTGTAATTGCTTGCATCATTTTCCATATCATTGGTTCTTCAAAAGCAAAAAAATGAACTTTCTCTTCCCTGTCTTCAGGCCACCAACTGATGCATCAAGGCTTTTCTATTTTATGATGCAAAGGTATTCCCAGTTTATCTTTTGCCCTGGAAT